CTTTTTATTGAGATATTCGAGTTTTGTAATCTTTCAAAGCCTACCATTTTAAAATCTAAACCTTTTTCGTTATAAAACATTTCTTCAAACCCATCACTAGATTGCTATATTTTAATATTCATCATCTTCACTTCCCGTTCGTGTCCAAGACACAACGGGGCGATGAAGTAGAGTTATCTGCTTCAAAGACTTCGGTATATGAAGGGATAGCGTGTTCAGCACTATGCCCAGCCGCCTTTGTTTCCCTAACGAGAGTTATGTACCCATAAGAGCTGGAAGGACTCTAGTGACCTGAACCCAGACTCGAACTCGAGACTTTCGGGTTAGCAGTCTAGCTCTCTATTATCTCGTTAAAAATCCCTTATGAGACCTTATTGGCGTCAGTCTTTTATCAAATGAATAATGGAGTTCTCACTATTAATAACCTCTGCTCTTATTATTGAATATAATTATCTTTAAATACAGTTTGCTTTTCTAATTTAATATCTCTATAGTTTAAAAACTAGATATAATCTTTGTTCCTTAAAAATATTATCTACAAAGTTTGAAATGAAAGTCTAATTATAAATAAAATCTCACTGGAGTTAACGATTTTTCTAAGTACCCATCTAAGGGAACTTTAGACTATAGTCATCATCTTCAGAAAGTTAACATTAGTATCTTTACTTTTTAAATTAACTAGCTGCCTGGATTTAGTTAGAAATTATTTTTAATCATTCATTACGTATTTAATGAATGCTAGCTAACCGTTTTTATTAGTTAGCAACTCAATTTAAAATGGAATTTAATTTTGCACTACTACTTTCAATTTCAGTTTTTAAGATCGTATAACGTGACAGAACTTTATGTCATAATATTGAGAATGTTAACCCAAAACGTGATCTGTCAATGAGGGGACCTACGTTTCCCAAACAAGTAAAAGCGAGTCTTCTATGTGCATATGTCTGTTACTACTTCTTATATTTTAACCAGCGAGGTTGTAATGTACGCTTATAAAGATATGCTTTTGTCTAAGTTCATTGATTAGTTGATCGGGTATTTCCAAAATTATTTCTGTTTTGTTTTTATATTCCGGCTAAAGTATTTAGTACTAAAGTTGAATTTATTTTATAGCTTCAAAGTTTTATAACCGCAGTAAAGCTGTTATTATCTGCATAACTAGGGGTAAGGACGATGTGTTCTAGTTTACCTTGTGTTACTGGGCCAGTGGCGTAGCCAGGATCGCCTTAAGGGGGGGGGGGGGGGGGGGGGGTTCCAATTTTTACCCGGGGACAAACTTTCGATTTGCACCCCCCCCCTCAAACTTTCGATTTGAACCCCCCCCCCCTCAAACTTTCGATTTACACCCCCCCTCAAACTTTCGATTTGCACACCCCCCCTCAAACTTTCGATTTGCACCCCCCCCCCCCCTCATACTTTTTTCTATATACCGCGGGGTCTATGGGGGGTTATGACCCCTCCTAACCCCCCCCCCCCCCGCCTACGCCACTGTACTGGGCTGCTAATAATAAATTGGGACACTTGAATAGACATGATTAAATTACCCAACAAAAACAATAATTAGCTTTTCGTCAAGATTTGATTTTATAGAGCCAGGAAAGGAGAGAGTCGTATGTAAAAACAATTTTAAGAATCTAAATTAATGTAAAAGAAAAGTGGTATTTACATTATATATCCTTCGTTGTAGGCTATTTATGAAATATACGCCCTAAAGCTGTTAACCACGGGATCTGAAAGATAAAACATTTTGCTTAATCATAAAACACGGTGAACGTATGTTTATGAAAACATTACTCTATAATTAAACTCTATTAAGAAAAAATATTAAAGTATTAAGTTGTCCTTCTTCTGCACATATGGTTGTAAATTTATTCAAGTTAATGAAATCGTAACCGTCTTGAAGTCTCCAAAGTTATACTGTTCGAAAGAAATATAACTCGTATATATGTGAATTTCATTAAAATATTAAATATCTACCACTTGTTTCTAAATCACGATATTAGCTAACACGTCAGTTTAGTCCAGTATAAACGCAATGTTTCAGTCGTTTGTTAACAAATTAAACTGTTACATTTTAGTCAGCTTGCAACCAGTAATAAGTGACTATGTCAAGCTGACCTAAATAAAATAGTCTACCTGTTAGGAGCAAACGAGTCGATTTATTAGGTCTATTTTCTAATGTATAAAAATGTTAATTTAGCATAACATATCACTACCTACTAGTGCTACTTACCACTGCAAAATAAAGATGTCTTCTATCAAAGTTCTTGGAAACTATTTTGTTAAAACCCGGTAACGATTTTTGTAATAAACAAATTTTCCTTTGCCAAGAGATATAGATTTTCTATTCTGAGACAACGGGAATTTCCAGTTTTATGTGTCTATATCAGACGCAGTAATAACGAGTACTTATATTATAGCATAAACATCAACAGAATTTAGACTTAGATGATGATGTAAAGGGGGCGGGATAAGATTTTTGTGTATAAGTTGCAATAAATATAAACAGATTTTTCAGAGTTAGTTAGTTGATACTAGTATTTAACAAATTGAAATATTGCTTTAACTTAAATATTTATATCAGATACTTGTTAAGCTACGGTGTGGGTTTCTGTTGTTCACGAGTTAAATCAGCACTTGGTTAATGTGCTCTTGTTGCCTTTTCATTTCTAAAAAAAGAGGAATATCAATAACACCATTTGTCAAAATTTAAAATATACTAATCATTAAAAAAACAGAATGAAAAACTGCTACTTAAGATCAACTTTAAAAAGAAAAAGAAAATAAAATCCACCTAACAGTTTTTAAAATATGTTAAAATTGATCAAACATTCTCCTAAATTATATAATTATAACTCTGAGATATTTTGTTTGAGATCATTTCTCCTGATATAATTTGTCCTGAGATCTTTTGTCCGTGATATTATTTGTTCTTGAGATCATTTGTCCGGATATCTTTTGTCCTGAGATCATTTGTCCGTTAGATATTTTATCTGAGATATTTTTTTAAAGATCATTTGTCCTGAGATCATTTCTCATGGAAGCAATTGAAGATATATGTATTACTATAAATGATAGTCAATATTTTCTCATTTTGATGAAGAAAATAAACTGCAACAGTTACCAATCAGTGAATTGCGCATATTCAACTATCCAGTTGTAAATCCACTTCCTGATTTGTATTGTTTTAAAACAAGGGTGAGCTGTTAAAGAAACCTGATGTGAGATTAAGCTAATTTTTTCTGCTGTTATATATACTAGTGTTTTTAAAGGCGGGGGAATGGTTGGCAATGCTAATATTAGATATCGTAAGATTACAAAATTGGGTACAGAATCAAATAGGCTACTGCAAATAACAGCTGATTTCATACTGTGTTGACTTAAATCACCACACTCAAATATCAGAAGACATCTATCCCAGCGCTAAAGTATCTACTTTCATATATATATATATATATATATATATATATATATATATATATATATATATATATATATATATATATATATATATATATATATATACATATATATATATATATATACATATATATATATATATATATACATTTATGTGAACGTAATTTTAAAAAAAAAACTTTCATTTTGAAAATATGAGTTATTAAATGTATGAATGAACGAGACACACAAATCAAGCAAATATTGCCACGTTTATGTATTATTCTTGAGAATCACGCAAGCCACATTCTAATGAGTTAAATTCAGAATAAATTGTTTTATATGTAGGCAAACTAGTTTTTTTTTTAAACTTTAATGTGAGCTCCTGAAGGAATTTTGTAATGTAAAATGAAATAAACTTTCTGAGACAACTTTTATAACAAACCTCACAATCAGATGGCGTGCTTCAGATATCAGAGGCATTGCTTTTTGTTTCTTGTGTTTATATTCAAGTTGGTTTTGAATGATTTGTCTACTGGTGGTTTGTCTACAGTGAGTGTTCGATCACAGGGGCTTTTTACATAAGTTGCTTGTTCATATGTTGTTTTTATATTAATAATTAAAAAATCAACTTATTTCACACCTTATTATACCTTTTAAGGGAATTCATACACACAATTTATTATCATTTTCATCTACTGGAGTAAAACCACCGTTAGTTTAACGTTAGTTTAGCACCTGTATCAAATCTATGAGTACCAGATGTTTGTAAAACATTTTGGCTTATATATGCAAAGCTACTTGTAACATCTTCTTCTTCTTCTTCGTTCTTAATTATTAGTGTTGAATGGGGATCGAGATTTATCTGCCAGTGGGTTTGAACTCGAGACTTTGTTCGAATTTATCAACCATGAACTTTTTTTGCAGACTCGACCACGCCTCCAACTCAATTAAGCGTTACGTGTCAACTGGTTATGCGCCATTGAGGCCATTGACTCCGATTTGCTTCCATAGCCTTTGTCCAACCAAGAACAAACTACAAGGCAGCAGTTGTTTAATTTTGGAGTTGTCTCTCCTAGAAGAGTGGCTGTCCCCAGCTAACGAGCCTCATCTGCCCGAGGGTTCGAACTCGAGACTTTTCGGTTTAGCAACCATGAGCTTTACCGACTCGACCACGCCGACCCCCCTTGTAACATCTAATTTACAATAAATACAATTACTTGACAATAAATACAATTACTTGGCAATATATACAATTACTTGAAAAAACATGAATACGACAATAATAGATTTTTTTTCTAGCTTATCTAAAGAATAGTTTTTGTTGAGAAATTAGTCTTAAGAGCAGACTCTGCAATACAAATATCACACTAAAAGCCTGTTAAATGAAAATATTTTTTGGGTGGATAAATGAATCATACAAGCAGGTTATTCGTGAAAATCGAGACATTTTCTGGCTTCTCAAAAAAGAAATATGCTTTGTGTAGATGAAAATACTTGCGACTAAATTATTTATGTCGAAGTCCCTTTAACAGACTATGTGTGTATAAATTAGCCTTACAAAGAGATAATTGAAAACAAAGTTCACACAAAATAATTGATTAGCATCAAGATATGTTTTATTAAGTATGATTAAGTTCCGAACAAAGTTGTATTACAAACATGACATTAATGTTCCTTGGCGTGAAAATAAAATACTGCAGTACTGACCCTGTCTAATGGAGTAGAAGATTTGGCTTCAAAGCAGACGGAAGCGTGAACATAGAGATAAAACTCGACCGTCTAGTACAAACTCATACGACTCAATTTTTCATATACAATTGCTAAGAAAATACAGAAAAATGCTGAAATGACTAGCAAAGTTAATATGAACCCACTTCCCTCGAGAATAATGTCAAAGTCGGATCTAACACTTTCGGCTTTGGTGTCACTTGAATTAGTTTTTGTGCAACCAACTCTGGTCACTGCGATCTCGTTGACGATTGATATGGCATCTAAATTTGCCATGACGAATCGGTTGTTCATTAGTTTGGTCAGGCACTCGTTGCTGATTTCCTGGAGTGGGATTACTGCAAGCAAGAGTCCCAGGTAAGACCTGCGTAGTTCTACATCATCCTCGCCAAATGTTCCAGCGTTCGCCGTTCGACATTCTGCGTTTTGAAGATCAGTTAGCGCTTCAACTGTATGAGGCGGCGCGCTTTTATCCGGCTCAGATGTGAGATAAGAATCCTCTGAACACGTCCATCTTAAAATTAAATCCACGGCATAGTCTGATCCTACCCCAATAAAACGGATGTATTTAAAAATGTCTACTAAATCCTCCCCCGTAATGCGCATGAACACATTGGAATTTGCAATTCTGGTAAATTTGGTCACTATTAACTGTTTGACTTTTAATACAACTTCATGAGAATCTAACAGTTTCGCCTCTTCATAAGCTCTGTAGAAGTTGTGCACATTAATGTTCATCTTCACGAAGTCCTCGCAGGCCGTAACTAAAAATTTGATCTGAAGCTGATTTGACGCGTGCCAAATTTCAAACATGTTTTCTACATTTAAAACATTATTTCCTGTATAAATAGAATCGAGTATAAGTCCAAAAATTTCCGGTGAGATGCCCTCTATGGTACAGCTTGATTCAGATTTTTCCTTCATATCTGTCCTCATGAGAGCCTCGAAGAAACCAGAGCAGGAACTTAAGACAAACTTGTGGCATTGGAACTTGGTGTTGCCAACGTTGACGGTAAAATCTGTGAAGTTCTCCAAGTTTTGTTGAAAACATTTGAAAACTCCTTCAGCAATGTTGAGGTCAACGTCGATACGGTTGGCGGGTGGGGGTGGACACACAGGGGAAAACATGGCGGCGAATGATGGTTTGTGTCTGAAAAGTAAAAGTCACGTTTAAAAATTCCCCATAACTATCGGATGTAGGCTACATTAAAATATTTAAAAGCAAATATCGAAAGAAAAACTGGCATGTTTAAATATAAATCTATCTTTTCCCATTTATAATATCAAAATAAATACAGTTCGGTATTAAAGACTAAATAAAATAATTTGAAAGTTGTGTAGTGTTTTTAAATTTAAACTAGTGTTAATATGTAAACATTGAAAAAAAACAAAAAGTATAAATAGTTTTGCGCTTGTAATGTGACGAAAGAAAAAAACAGAAAATTGCGATATAAACACGAATAAGAAGTGATTATCCTGTTCTAAATGTCCAAACTATATGCTAAACATAAAATTCGTGTAGTCTTTATTTTCACTGGCTTACTGTACTACTCAGTATTTTGTTTTTCTTCATTTACGATTCATAAATTGCTATTTTAAAAGTCGAAAAAATGTTCCTTACCATTATACTCGGCCTGTATTTTTTTTATGCATTTTAAAAATGTTAAAAGGTAAAAACAGTTTAGTTGTTTACATTTTATCACAGAAAATTTGAACATGAATGGCAAAACTAGATCAAGTGGTTTAAAAATATGTATTTAATTATGTTATCGGCAATGTTTTTGAAAAACAATTATTATGTTAAGTCTCATTTACATAATATCGATCACAGCGGTCCTGTATAACCAAGCACTGTTTGTCTTACATAAGCAAATCATCAGGTTATAACTTAGGCTTGATGAAAATAAATTGAAATGTAGCCTTGAACTCATGAAATATTTTCAAGTTCAATGGCTTTTCAAATTTTATAATATTGATTCTTTATTTTTTTAAATTTCTGAATCATTTTCAGGGGTACCTAAGTTTTTTGTTTTGCTTTTCTTTTATGGCAAAATCTAAAAAAATAGGCCCACATGTTTTTGTCCATGTCGACTATAATGATAAAACCCAACTCGTCAAACTTGGCCGCCATTACTATGAGACATGTTTGATCGTTGATATTTTATAAAATATGAGCTGAGCGACACTCACTACAAAATTTAATGTTTACTTGTTTACTTGTGCGCAGTGGCTATATTTTATGACTTAACATTTCTGAATCCAAGCCCAGAAATTAAAGTCATATAAGAATGTAAACAATCTTACCTTGTATTTCGCCGCCACTGATAACGAATGACATGTTCATTTCCCTTGCACCAAATTTAAAAGACGCGATATTGGGGAGTCCCGTTATTGTTTATATTTGGACTGTAATTCACTTTATCGTATTGAAAAAAAAATTCTAAACGTTTCATACCTCCCCGGATCGGAAAAAACTTAGTTTAGCGATTTTGTCTGTGTGTCTCTGCGTTTGTGTGTGTGTATGTGTGTCTGTGTGTCTGTGTGTCTGTAAACAAAATAAATTGATTTCGGTGTCAGTTATTTTGACGAAAGCTTATATATAATTATTATAGTAAATGTGTTGTGTTTAATCAACTTTTGAGAAATTTTCTCTAGGATCTAGCTGTAAGTGGGTTTTGTTTTTTTTTTACTTTCTCGAATTTCTTTAATCGATTGAAAATTCGAAAGCGAGATTTTCACAAATCTCGACCCTTACACTTTCTTGAGTCGAAATAAACCTAGGCTTCAAATCTTTTTGTCGGTCTGTCTCCGTGTGTCTGTGTGAACAGGTTTACTCGATTACCGTTTTAGTTAAGTGAACCAAACATTGTATACAATTCATCCATCAGAAAAGTTTGAACACAATTTATGATTTGGTTCGTGAAAGATACCCCGACAAAATCAGCGATGCTTTTGCTTCCCTTATATAAAACACTTACGCAGGTAACATGACAAATATTGAATTTGTTTTGGGATTTTTTAAAGTATATATCTATATATAATATTCTCTTCTTGGATACTCTAAAATGGGGCTGCTTTCACGGGGGGGGGGGGGTTATCGTCCTTAACGAGCTACTGATAGTGTTTTAAAGCAAATATTTTCAGTAGCATCATTGGTACTGTCGAATTCACAAAGTATGAATTACTGAAAAGTAAAAAATAAAATAACTAAATAGCGGCGTATGATACGCCGCGGGTCGGCTCGTTTTGAAATATTAAGCCTATAGGATCGACAATGTAATTCGTCAATCCACTAAATAACGCTTCCCCTCCTCCACACTCCCTCACACAAAGACACACGTTTAATTGTGCTGGTGTGGGGTGCACTTTAACCGTTGATATAAGTAGCACCCCAGTCCCCTGTGCATTAAACTCAATCAGCGGAGCCCTGGTGCAACTGGGAAAATCGGGCGCCCAATTACAATTATGCCGGGCTTAGCCCTTCGCGATATTTTAAACATATTTTAGTCCAATAATTGTCGCTGGAGAGCAGAGGCGTAGCGAGGGGGGTGGGGGATCCGCATCCAAAATAGTATCCTACATCGGGATATCAAAAAGGTAATTTACTGTGAATTTTATAGATATGAAGATACCTTTCCAAAAATTGTGCACCACATTTTGATTCATTTTAAACAGGTAATAATGTCTTAAGGATAATGGACTTCGGAATCTCAGAAATAATTGAAAGTAACGGTGTAGCGACAGAGAAGGGGACGTACCGTTACATGGCACCAGAAGTGTTGTTTTCGGAGGGTGATCGGCTTATAAACTACACCACTAGATCAGATAGGCCTATTTGGTGACTAAACATCTATATTTCTCTCTATTTATATAAAGGAAAAGTTTAATTTTAAGTATTTGGCACGATTTTATATAGCTAAATCATTTTACAATTATATTTATTATTTTTACTTTGCTCAATATAAACTTTAATACAATAAAACAGTTTAAATAGAATGTAATAATTGACTTCGTTCGTCTGTCTGATTGTAACTACATATAATCGTGAAACACTGCACCGATTTTAATGACTTTTCGCACAATTACTCAGCTTTATTCACTAAATTGCTATTGTAAATATTTTAAATACTTTTTGGTATTACGGGTAAAACTAATATCATTTCATTCTCACTTTTAATACAATCTCTAATGGTGTGTAAACGATAAGACAGGGATGGCGAAAATGTCTGAGGAATAACATTACCGTCAATTTTTCTAAAAGACTTTACAGTCGATAATTAAGTCAAATTTGATGTCAGATTGCATTGTCATCGGGTCTTGACCCACGTGCCGAATCAGTCAGTTAAAATGCTCGAAATTTTGCTCTCCCGTTTGGATCTATGACGGACGGCAGAAAGACAGAGGAAGCAAGTTAAATAAAAGCTTGTAATAAAAGCGCTTGTGATTAAAAAATGTATCTTTATTTTAATTCAATCCGTCTTTAAAAGCAGAGCAAACTACTACATTGCTGGCTTTTTTGCTGGATTTTTTTTTATATATTACTCGTTCTATGTATAAAACTCTTTTGTACAGGAGCATAGGCTGCACTGTTCTAGAGATGTTGACCGGCAAACCACCTGGTCAGTCAGTGTCTACTCCCAAGTTTATCAGCCAAGTCTTGACGGCAGACTCCCTAGAATATTTACACCAAGTACCAGCATCAGAAAGGCTCAGGGCATTCTTAAACCGTGTGTTTCAAACAGAGGCTAAATTAAGACCATCGGCAGAGTGGTTGTTACAGAATGACCCTTTTGTGATGTGATGTTAAAATAAGGGAGTTTTTTTGTTGTTTTTTTTTGTTGTTGTTGTTGTTTGGGGGGGGGTGGTGACTGGTTGTTGTTGTTTTTTTTTGTTGTTTTTTTTTGTGCTACAAATGTGATGGAGTTCGATCATTCAGCTGTTATGATTGTCACGCTTCATAGAGTATTTATAAAACTAATTTGAATTTATTTTAAAATGTAGATACACATCATGCGTGAATGTATAAATCATTTAATATAACGTGTTATGACAATATTCAATACATTTTGTGTATAGATTCCAATAATAATTCTTCCGATTTGTAAATAATAAGATTAAAAATACCATTCAAGCATATTTCTTTTTTATCATTATAAAAAATTGTTTTCAAGACAAAGGGGTATTAATAGATATTGATTTATTTTACCAATCCATCTCAATCAATATTTACTAGCATTGCAGCCACGGTGTGTAGAAAGCAGGTATTGATTTTCTTACACACTTTAACGTGCAGGTACGACTGTGTTTATTGATTCTAATTATAAGGAGTGTCAGATGTTTTAATCACAGATAGGTTAGAAGAATAGTGTGTAGTAGTAGTCTGAAGTTTTTTCTTTTCAAAACGATTCACCTTTTTCATTTAAAGACAAACTATTTTAAATACAAAAACGCTTTATTTTATCTGTAATTTTTTGACAATCAGCCCAACTATCTCAACATGTATCAATAACAAAAATTTGCTTTATTACGCGTGCAATTTTGAACGTTGTGATTAATTTTACCAAAACTTATCTAAATGTTATTTTCATAAATACGTTTGTCTTACTGTTCATATTAGAACGTTTGATCAACTTATGATAACTATATTATCCGTTTCTAAACGAAGTAGATATAACTGTACTGTTGTCTAAGTCAACTCAAGAATGGAAAACCAGTGTGATGACGGTAGGTAAATCTCATCGTTGATTTTAGTTTTAAAATCTTTGTATATGTTACTAGTAAGCTTTGTGTAAGTTACTAGTAAACGTTGTGTAAGTTACTAGTAAGCTTTGTATAAGTTACTAGTAAGCTTTGTATAAGTTACTAGTAAGCTTTGTGTAAGTTACTAGTGAGCCTTGTATAAGTTACTAGTAAGCTTTGTATTAGTTACTAGTAAGCTTTGTGTAAGTTACTAGTAAGAACCTCATTGTACCGTATATAACCTGACAGTAGAAATAGAACATCTATTTCTTCTACATCGACGGTGAATGGATTGTGGTCGGTTTATACATTAGTCGCCTTTATACTCTTATTTCAAAACATGAACTCATAAAAGAGTAGTGATCGTCTTTAATGTCTTTATTGAATACAATTTAGAATGAGAAGTATTATGGTGTAAACTCCAACATATCGACTATGAGTGATGAGCTAAGTAAACAATGATATGAATTCGTATTTTTACAAATAGTACAAAATTTATTTCCGTTCTATCTCATCATCAGCTCAGGTGTTTAATTTTCAATTCATGACTTTGAATTGTCCACAAAACAATATTTATTATAAAATATTTGTAAATTTGTTAACGTTTATTGAACTGATATATGAGCATTTGTTTGTTGTCTACTCTAAATCTAGATAAAAGTTGTAGACTAAATATTTCAAATTAAAATGTACATTTTTAGAAACTATTTTTAAACTATTCTGCAGTATTCGCTATTTCATGTCTAGTAAACTCGGAATTTTATTCATATCTGTCCATTGTTTTATGTCTATTCCAAATTCAGATTTTCTTTTAAAAACGGTAGGCCTACCGACCCAGTGTTCAGTTTGTGAACATAAGATGTCTTGATCATGCGTCATCAGTATAACTAAAATTGGGTTTACTTTTTTTGTGTTGACTATAAATATAACTGTTTTCCTCGGGGGTGGGGGGAAGAGAAATGTTATTACAATAGTTTGATTAATTCATTACGAGTAAATTTAATTTATTAAATTCTAATCTGGAGCAGTAATTGCAAATCTTAGTTACCATGTTGTAAATTAAGTATGTGGAACTCGTTAAACGCCCCCCTCCCCATAACGAAATAGAAAAATATAATATTTATATAAAAATATATACTGTATCCAATGCCCCCCCCCCCCCGCCCAGTGTTTCTTCCAGACCTTTTTCTCCGGGGGTGCACTTGAAATTTTCGGGGGTGCGGTAGATTTTCTTCGGGGGGGGGGGGGCGGACACTGTTAAAAGTA